CCGGTCAGACTTTCAGAGACTCAGCTCCCTGGAAAGTCCTGACGGCTTTGTTCCACAGCCTTGCTTAAATCCTGGAACAAAGAAGAGAGGAAATGAGTTACAGGGAAGGAATACGTGTGCTCTGTCACTCCGAAGCCCGGGAATTCTAACCAACAGAGGACATCCTAAGACAATCGGCTCCCACACATTACTTTACTTTCAGCATCTTAAAACATAAGAAAGAGAGAAAGATCAAAACTATTGAGGGACACGTGAGTTATTAAGACAGCTAAGAACTGTATTTGCAGAGAGAAATCAGCTGTTCGTATGAAGAAAACAGTGACTGAAACGGAAACAACCAACATCACACCAGAAATTGCAAGAAAAACAAGTATCCTTTTTCATATCCAGCCTTTGTTTAAAAAATAGGCATCACAGCCGATAGAAAGAAAACCGATTTTATCAACTTATTCTTTGAGAAAGCTTGGTAACAGAAGATTACATTTTTGTGTTGTGGTGGTTTGGTTTGGTTTTTAAATGGAATTGGGATGTCTAATGCAAGTCTGAAAAGCCCAGACTTTTTCATTTCATTGACTGGTTTCATTTTTGTGTGTGCTAATTTTGAGCCCCATGGTGTACTGATTGATCATGCGTTGGGCTGCGATCCTCATGGTCGGCAGTTCTAAAGCACCAGCAGCTCCGTGGGATAAAAACTGGGCTTTCTACTCCCAGAGAGCTGTCAGCTCGGAAACTCCCAGGGGGTTGTTATGAGTCAGCATTGGCTTTTGACAGCAGTGAGTCTTAGAATTTTGAGAAACAGCATAAAATTAAGTACTGAATGTTTGCCAAAGAATGGTATCTTTTAAAAGACCCATCATCTGTAACTACCAGTTTCATAAACGATGGTATATAGCTTAGGTTTTTGTATTTTTTTAAACTTCAAAATCTACAGAAAAGTCGTAAAGTGGCATAATTAATTTCTTTTTACCCTTCACCTAGAGATATTGTTGCTACATATCTGTAGCAACATATATGCTACAAAATGCTACACATTTTGCTACATTCTTCTCTCTCTTCCTTTAAATAATGGATTACATTCAGATTTTTCGGAGTCACTTGAGAGTAATTGCAAACACCAGTCCTCTCCTCTGAGACCTGTTGCCGTGTGTGTTCGCTGAGAATAAGCAAACCCGCCTACAGAAAAAAGACAAAGCCCCACCGACTCAGTGCCCCTGGGGGTCGGTAACTCAGGGCGACCATGTGCCTCAGAAGAGGCTTGTGCTCCAGACGGGTTTCAAGGGGTGATCTTTTGGACGCAGCTCATGAAGTCTTTCTTGCAAACAGCCTTGGGACCATCATCCAATTATCTCTCCATTGCACTCACAAAAGTTAACATTCATCCATAGTATTATCTAATTCACTGGTTCTGTTCAGTTGTTTCCAATTGCCCCGTGTCCTAAGAGGAAGTATTTTTAGCACACGTATCAAAGTAGCAGTCATCCAACAGGGTCTCAGAATACGTGACATTCTTTTAAAGAGGAATACATTTAAGTTTATAGAAAAAAAAATCACGATGTGGCCTCATTGACCTATTTCTCCTTGGGGCAGTGGCAGCTCCATCACAGACTTGTTCGGATTCACATCTGAAAATCACTGCTGCATACACTTATATTTATTCTTAAGGTTCTTATTATAATAAATGTACATATGTATCAAATAGTTTCCATTTCAACAGTCTTTACATGTGCAGTTCAGGAGCAGTAGTTACATTTATCACGTTATTCTAACTTATCTTTACCCATTATCAAACGTTTATATCCCTTTTAATAGAAGCCCAATGTCCCCTAAGCATTGTACCTTCCTTTACCCTTCTTCATGACCACCTGTGGTAAAAACGAATAAACTTTAATCGAATTCATTCAGATGCATGGAAAGGTGAATGTCCCGATTGAAGAGATGAAGACTGTAAAATAAGAGCATAAATAATATTTTAAATGTTAAATAATTCTAAAATAGCATGGATTAACTCCTTCTGGGAGTTTTTAAATGTCTCTCTTACTGTTTTTTTCTTATTAGAATTTTGCTTTCACCTGACTCCCAAGGTGTGCCTGTGGCCAAGAGACCAAAAAAGTATGGAGTCTATGTAGAAAAGTACTAGAAGTAAATGGGAAACTCTTTCTACCCATGTAGCAGACCGTCCTGCATATGCATATGTATGGACTTGAAACACCATGTACAGACAAGGTCAAGGAAAAAGCAGCTAAGGGTTTTATCATGGAAGAATATTTTTGAATGGGCCAACACCCTCAAAGCTGGGGTGTTTCAGCTCAAGAGATAAATACTAAAATAAGATACCATGAAAGCCTATAAAATGATGCTCTTCATCCACTGCATTCAGAAAAATGGCAATTACAGGAGAAATCAAAGGAAGGAGTGCTTCAGTGATAAGTCACAATAACAATCTAAGCTTAAAAAAAACAGCTATCTTCAAAAGGACTGATGTATTTAGAAATTAAAAGCTTCTAATGCTTCATAGAGAAAGCCTATATGAAAACGGGTCAGAAATGGTCCCTCTGGATCCCAGAACTGTCCTCCATGAAATGCCTTTCATTTGGATGTCATTGACCTAACTCACTATGACATTGTTATATTCTCCATTTCCATTTCAGAATCCCTATTATTCCCGTCAATATTGTGTCTGTGCAACTAAAACTAGGCATATATATTCATACATTAATATAAAAAGCAAAATCCACTGCCTTAAAGTATTTTCCAACTCAAAATGATGCTGTGGGACAGTCGATCTCCCTCACAGGGTTTCCTAGGCTGTGAACCTTTATGGAAACACACTGCCACACCTTTCTCCCAAGTAGCGGCTGATAGGCTCAAACCACCAACCTCTTGCCTAGCATCCAAGTGCATTAACCACTGCGCCACCAGGGCTCTTATACATTGCTATCTATACGGGTAGCAGAAAGTATTACACTAGGGTTTCCAGTCACACACACACGCAGGTTTATTACAAACAAAACGTCTTTAAATATGTCTCTGATCAGCTGCAAACACATTCCCTCAGTGATATACTTGTCTTGAGCCCACTAGGCTGCCATTAGAAAAAGTCCTATCAAAACAGTGGCTTCCAAGGAGATCAATTAGGCCAACTAAATTTAAGACAGGTCAGACAGAGAGAGCTAATGGTTATGGCAACTATTTGGCGGGGGGCTCCCAGAAGGGTAATGTTGATAGATTTTTCCCTAAGGACACAGAACAATTATTAGGGTTTATTATGAAGAACATTTCAGAAAATTTAAACTGTATTGGTAAGAAAAAATGCCAGGAAAGTTGTGTCAAGGTATTTTTTTTTCCCATTGTGACAATGCACCTGCTCATTCTTCAGGTCTACTACAAGTTCACTGGGAAACTCTCCCCACCTACCCTATAGCCATGATCTTGCCCCTCCTGACTTCTTTTTGCTTCCAAACTTCAAAAAGCATGTAAGGAGTCCATGTGAGATTGCCAAAACGGCCGTTTCGATACATAAGTCAAAGAGCACAGAATTCTTTGGGGAAGTATTAAATTCACTGCTACGGAGTCAATGCTGACTCAGGTGACCAACCCAGTCTTTCTCCCACGGTCGCTGCTGGTGGTTTTGAACGGCCAGCCATGTGGACCGCAGCTCAGCTCACAACCACCACACCACCAGGGTTCCAAGACAGTTGGAAACACCACCTTCAGAAGTTTGTAGACTAGAGATGGAGCACATGTTGAGACACAATAGCTTCACATTGTCACACTTTGTTTAACAGCAGCTTCTGTGATTTGTGGCAATACTTTTTCACTTACCCTCATAAATGGTGAAAACAGCTACACATTTTCAGTGTCAACCCTAATGTTTCATGAAACTCAGATGCCTTTGGCGTAAGACTGAATTGTATGCTCTACTTATTCACTAATGATCATGAAATAATGGATTTGAGCTTGCTTTAGAAAGGATATATATAGTTTTCACAAATGTGAGCTCTTAATATTCTTCTCCATAGTGTTTCATTTCTTCCTCCATTTAAAGGTAATTCTTGTCCCTTTTAGTGTCAGCATAAATGATGGATTATAGAGTGTCCTTAATGGTTTCCACTCTTACTGAGCGTTTACTAGGCGTTTCGAAAAAACAAAGCTATATGAACCCTGTAGATAATTTTCAGTTATAGAACAATTACATAGAAACTTCTCTCCACTGACTTCATTTTAGGAACTCAAACCCAAAACAAAACAAAAAAAATTTAGATGAACAGCAAGAACTGTCTATTGCTAAAATTCCACCTCCGAAAAAGCACCATAGTGCATACTGTGGGTGGAAACCACTTAAAATGCACTTTCCTAAATCAGGTTTTCCAATAATATTTTTTGTGAGATTTATAAAAGGGTCTTTGGATTTGGAGGACTCAAAGCATTGGCCACTTTCAGTGACATTTGTGGTCTCACGGGACTCGGTGGCACAGCACAGGACCCGTTACGGTAGTGAGCATTCAGAAACTATTTCAGGGACCAATTCGTGAGTTCCAGTAGGGAGGGGGAGTCAGCGCCAACAGATAGCAGAGGAAACATGGGCCAGTCCTGCTCCAGCGTCACCCTCTTCTGTATGTCGGGGACCATTGCTGCCGCTACCATGGCAACCCAGCTCGTGGAGGTCTTCGCTCCTGCTCACTGACCCTCCACTTTACCAAACCTGATGTCCTTTTCTAGTGATTGCTTGACCTTTCCTAAGGACGAGTCTAAAGGGAAAGAGATGGTAGGGGCATCCATGTCTAAAAGGACTTAAGCCTAAGTTTCAATTGGCTTCTAACAAATAAAAGGACTACCCGAGCACTAAGTGTGCCCTCAGTTGAGGACAGTTTCCCCCCTGGCGGCCCTATCAATGACTCTGAGAGGGCCTGTTTGACGGGAATCCAGTGTCCACGGAGTGGGGACCGCGGTGCGCACAGCGGGTTGAACGCAGTTTCTGATGACAGCCGCCTCTCTCTTAGGCAGCGCAAGGATGAGCTGGAACAGCGGATGTCTGCTCTCCAGGAGAGCCGGAGGGAGCTGATGGTGCAGCTAGAAAGCCTCATGAAGCTACTAAAGGTAAGACATTTCCAATAACTGTGTCCTAGACCTTTGAGTGTGGCATTTGTAAACTGTTTTTACACGTGACGTGCAATGGTTTTCCAACCACTGCCTGTCAAGTCCCCCAACATGTTGTCCCAAGCTCAGCTAGAGGGCCGTGCGCATCCATATCCCTTTCCTGGAGCCGGTCTGATGAGGACCTGCCTGGGCCAACTTCTTCCTAGCTTAGTTGGTGTCCTCTCACAAATGATGAGATTGAGTTCATTTAGCAGTTTTTGTATTGAGTCGTTTTCAGCAAGTCTGACTAGATTGAACAGGGGCTGATGTCTAGGCAGACAATCAAGATATAGCCACCATTGGTGATGACAGTTTTATTAAGAGGAACACCTCTTCATTCCAGTAAAATATTTGCTCTCACCTGTGCGGCTTCAGCAGCAAGTCACGGGACTTCCATGGGCCTCAGATGCAAACTGTTGTCACCTTCCTTTTTCAGGAGGCAAAACGTGTAATAAAACCAGTGAGAAAAGTCCTTTGTGGCGTGACATAACCTGCCATATTCTTTGAGAAACGACGTTCTTTCTTTAATGACATTTTAGGCCCTTTTCCATTTTATGTGAAATTACATTTCCAGTATTTCAAATTTTTTTTATAAAACTACTTAGGGCCACATAGGCACACTTAGTCCAGAAGACATGGCAGTAGGATGTGGTCATCCTTATGCCATGCCTGATGCACACAAGCATGAACCAGTGTGCACTGGGTCATGCCAAAGGCACACTGGTAGGAGGGCAGTAAAGGGGGAGGCCCTGGTCAGCTCAGCCGGAAGGCAGGATGTTCTTTTTGTGCATGGAGCCCCCACGTCCCCAACACACCATCATTTGTTGTTACTGCATCTTCTCCTTTCATTCACTCTTTCTTTCTTCTCTCCCTCTTCTTTTTTGACTTCTTTCTTTCAGTCATTTATTGATTTGACACATTTTTTAAAAACATGTTTTGGGCTCTGTTCTATGTGCCCTTGTCCCCTGAATAACATTTCTTTTGTTGCTCCTTACTGTTGTACCTTTTGGTCCACTCCTTCTGCCATTCATGTCCTCTTTAATTATCGATGTTGGGAATTCTTTTTCTTTACTGAAAAAAAAAATTCAATCCCAGTGTGTTAGATGTATGACGTACAGAATTCTGTTTGTACTGCTGTACCATGTATGGTAGAGTTGGACCAGATCATGAAGAATCTGCTGCTATTTCTGGCTTAGCCTCGCTCGATGGTGTGCTAAATCTCCTTCTGATTCCTTTTCCAAATGGACCCAATAAAGGGCTCTGAGCCCATCACTCGTTTCACAGAACTGAGGGAAGCTGTGAAAGCAGCTACCTGCTTATGGGCCTCCCACAACAGCCCGGGGACAGGAATCTGCGTACCATAGCCATCTTGGCTTGCACCTAGCTCAGCTGAGCGCCCTCGATGGTGCCAGCCAGGCTGACACTAGGCTAGAGAGAGACGGTGTGGAAAGATAGTTCAGTACACAGAGGACTCAGAGGGGCCTGTGGAGTCAACTCCAAAGTAAATCAACTTGGAACTCCAGTCCCTGAGGAGGTAGAGGCCTGACCTGATCCTCCAAGCCATGTTGACGTCTTCTCCTCCCTCGTCCTTCCCTTCCCACTCTGTACCTGCTCTCGCTGGAACCCTGGGTAATCTAACTCTTATCGATTCAATCTTTCTGTAGGAAGAAGAGCTGAAGCAGGGAGTAAGTTATGTCCCTACTGCAGGTCTTAACTAACAATGGAGGGGCCCGCCGTCCTGCTGTCTTTCTCGTTGCTTTTGCCTCTAATGTATGTTCATGCTTCAGTTTGGAAAGAAAGAAAGAAACTCATACTAATTTGCTTCCTTTTTGATGTAGTGCTTGAAATGAGATATACAGAAAATTTAGCTTTTTTTTTTTTTTTTTTTTGTAACTGTTACTACTGTTGGCATCCAAAGAAGAGCTATTACATCTCTTAGAAGAGGGAACAAATTGTAATGTGTTTGGGTCTTTCTCAATCTCCGAGGGTCTGGTAGCACTTTTCGGGGCTGTTGACCAGATCCTTCTTGGAATTAACGTCACCCATCACAGTCGCTAAAGCTGCCCTGACGTCAAATGTTAGCTTCCAACCCACAACACTCAGAAGCTGAGCACTAACTACAGCCTCTGACACTCCAAATACTGTCTCCAGTTTAATGTAAAGACGTGGAACTTTCTTTCATAAAACACTGGCAATTCAATATCTCAGCCGTGGCCTGACGACGATGCCCTGTCCCCGACTGGTCACCAACGTGCCCAGTCCCATGAGAGAGAAGACTGTTCTCTCTCTGTACTTGTGGTTCTTGCCCCAAGCAGAGTCCCTGCCACCGAGTGGCAGTACCCTCTACAGCGGTGGTTCTCAACTTCCTAATGCTGCGACCCTTCCATACGGTTCCTCGTGTTGCGGTGACCCCCAACCATAAAATGATTTTCATTGCTACTTCATCACTGCCATTTTGCCACTGTTATGAATCAGGCGACCCCTATGAAAGCGTCGTTTGACCCTCATAGGGTTCTTGACCCACAGGTTGAGAACCGCTGCCCTAAAGAATACGTCAGGCTCCACCTCTGTCTTTTCCGTGAGAAACTTTCTGGCCTGTGAGTTCACAAGTGTCTTGCACACGTCTTCCCTAGAATTAGGCACCTTGTGACTAAATTTAGTCGAGACGAGAGCCTGGCATCTAGTCCTGTGATCAGGTCCAGAAGCCAGTAGAGGGAGCAGCATACTCAGAAAATAAATTAAATCAAATCAATCCAAACGAAAGCAGCTTTCGTTTCAAATGCATGTCCCCAGCTGTGTATGACCATAGACCCCACTCGCTGGCATTGTTTCCAAGCTTTACATTATCCGCGTGGGTCCATTAGAACCTCAGTTTCAGCGCATCTTCTGATTCTTCTGTATTCTCTTCTATTATTCATTGTGTGTGTTTGTGTGTAACAAAGACTCTGTTTGCAAAATGCTGAACACATGTGATCTTTCGTTCCCATGGTATGTAAAAAACAGACAAACAAACAAACGAGGAACGTGTAAAGCCAAACCAATCTGTACTGTCCAACAATAAAGGCAATGTATTACACGATTTTGTATTTTGTGAAAAAACATTACTTTACAAACAGTCAACTTTTACTGAGAGATCGTCAGTCCCCTGGGTGAATGACACACAGAATATAGAGCCATAAAGGCATCCAGGGGCTGTTGTTACCACACTTCCAACACACGTAGATCATAGTCTGGTGAAAATGCCTTCTGCATGGGCCATCTCTTTGCCCAGGGCCTCTCTTCTTTCCTATCTCTTACTTAGCATGTGGAATTCATGGTTAACACTCTCGGCTGCTAACCAGAAGGTTAGGAGATTGAGTCCACCCAGAGCACCTCGGAAGAAAGGCTTGGCAATCTACTTCTGAACGAGCACAGCCATTGAAAACCCTCTCGAGTACAGCTCTCCTGAGACACCCATGGGGTGTCATGCACAGAGGTATCCACAAATTGATTTCCTTCTTGTAGAAGCCTAGGTTGGTGCAGTGGTTAAGTGGCATCGGTGGCTCGAACCCATCAGCTGCTCACAGGAGAAAGAGGTGTCAGTAAAGACTCATGACCTTGGAAACGCTGTGGAGTAGTTGGACTCTGCCCGACAGGTTACTATGAATCAGAATCAACTCAACAGTGGAGTTTGAGTTACTTAGCATGTTCATCTGGGGAAAAGACAAGGTTCAAAGGTCCCTTTCTTCCTCCTAGTAGAGAGAGGGTAAGCTTAGATCCCCAGCCAGTAGGCCTTGCTTAGCCATTTCCCATGGGGATCCATTCTCTACCATTTCCCATGCAACATGAACTTGAAAGGTTCCATGGACCAGGGAGTTTATAAACAGAGGGATGCATTGAGCCAAACGATGCCAGTTTCCCTCAGTATCACTGCCACCATTCCTTCCAGCTCCTCCCAACTGGGACCTGCAGGAGCTTCTGGGTATTGGAAATGGGACAGTAGTGGCTTCTATGTAAGTTACCACCCAGATGTTGGCCAAGAATCATTTAGGGAGTGGGAGAGTTTGGCCATTTTTCTCATTTACGTATTTGATCATCAAGCTGCTTTCTAAAAAGGGATTAAGGCAGCTTACATCAAAATACATCAATTCCTAAAGTGGAAATAGAAACCTCAAAAGCCAAAGAGAAGAAAAGGTGGGTGGGCTCATCATCAAGGATAGGAAGTGTTCCTTCAGCTTCCTGGCAAGGAGACAAAGAAGGAAAGGCAGTCAGTGGGTTTCTTGGAACAAAAATGCCAATTCTCAAGAGGCTGCAATTCCTGTTGGCATAAAATAGCAACAGAAGTTTCCACATGGAGCTTTAGAGAAGGAGTTTTGGACAATGACATGAAAAAAATGTACTAGTAGATTTCACAAGTTGACCCGTAGTCAAAATGACTTATGTTGTCCAGTAGTCAAATTATGAGGAGAGTCCCAGAAATCCCAACCCGACTGAGGTGGTCATACATGAAAACAAGCACAGGTGATTCAAACACAAAGGCTTCCAGTGGTATAGCATCATCTGAGGAGAGAATGTAGGGGGTTTTGCCTAGTATCTGCTTCTAAATTCTGTTTTTATTTATGATCTTTGTCTCTTTGGGGACTTCCATTTTGTAAAATTAAACCTAAAACAGCTCACACAAAAAAATTGTGCTTGATTTTAATAACCTCTACTTTCTTTATCCTAAGTCTGCGCGGTTCCATGTAGCCCTTATACTGGCATATCTGATTCCTACATATCTTCTGTTTCTTGTTAGACGTGATGCATGCATTTATCCCTCCCTTGAGGAGAGAACACACACACACAAAAGAGCACTGTAATATGATGACTATGGTATCATAAGCAATAAATCTTTTTTTACAAAACTCAAATTGACGTTATCCTACCCTCTTTCTTCTTTGTGTATGTTTTAATATTTGTGGATGGGACCATCACCCAAATGC